GCAATTCATCGTAAGGGTCTAAGATCGTTTACCGAAGGCAACATTGAAGTGTCATCGAGGGACTACAATCTTTTAATCAAGGGTCTTTTGCTAAAACATCTCATATTTGAGGGACATGATTGTTTATATCTGAGGCAATAAGTGTGGGTTACCCTAGAGGTGCATGTATGAAAAGTGTGTTTGATTCAATTATTTTATCTTGAATTAGGGTTGTCTAGGTTTCATTTTAAGTCTTGTCATGCAAACCCTAATTACTAACAATAAAAAGGAAAGCGATAAATTGCAAAATTTAAATGTTCTACGCTATTACAATACTTTGGGAATGGGGGGGGGGGGGGGGGGTACAAGTTTGTGAGTAGGGGAAGGAAAGCAATAAAGCCTAATTTATCTATTACAAACCTTTGAATATGAATATTGATAAAATGTACAAAATGTAAAGAGGAAGAAAGAAATTGTTTTTTAGGGTTTTTGATAGAAAGGTTTAAAGATTAACCTAATCAACTAATTAATTTTAATTACAAGAGAAGTTAGTTAATCATTTAATCAAAACCTAAAATCTAAGTTAATTGAATTTAAGAAAATAAAAACCTAAGTCTAAATAATTTGTTTAGAAAATAATTTGAATGTCAATGTTAATAAAGAAAAATGTTTTACAATGTAAAAGAAATAATAAAATATAATTTAATTAACAAAAATAAAATAAAGTGCTTAAATTAAAATATTTCTAATTTAATTATTTATATATATATATATATATATATATATATATATATATATATATATATATTTGTATTTTTGGTTAAATAAAAAAATAAAAAATAAAGAAAATATAAATAGTATAAAAATAGTTGGGTCAGGGTGTTAAAAAGTAAGATGGGGGTTAAAAATAGCAAACAGGCCCAAAACAGTTTTTTTGTTAAAAACAGAAACAAAAAAATAGTAAAAGATGGGGTCTGTGTTGTTATGAGTAAAAGGGGGCGCAAACAGTCTGGATCCCTTAAGCCCAACTGCTTGATCCATATAATCTGGTGTAGTAACCCACGAAGGTCTACCGTAGGCAACATCTGCGTGGAATGTTGATGTTGGATGATGATGATCGGAGGGTTGCAAATAGAGGGTGTACGGTGAGCCTTGAGAGAGATGTTGTATGGGATTACCAGGCCTGGGACCACAAGGACAGTGGCAAGTGTCACCGCAAGATTAATTGTTAAGGATTAATAAAACTAAAATAAAAACCAAAATCTTAATCAAAACAGAAAAGTTATATTTTCTCTTCCCTGTGTTCTCTCTGTCTTTCGTTGTCCTCTTGAGCTCGCCAGAAATCGCCCTAGAGGCGGAAGACGACTACGGGCGGCAGCGTGCATGGCGGCTTAGCTCCAATTCATGATTTTTTTACATCGTTAGCTTCGTCTCTTTCTCCTTTGTCTTAATATGTGGCTTGATTTTGTAGGGGATCAATGATTGGAATAAATCTGAAAGGGGAAAAACAAAACCCTAAATGTTATATGCTACAAAAATATGTGATTATGATACAAGATGCATGAACGAAAATGAAAGTAAAAGAGAGGGAATGGAATCGAGATGTCCGGATCCGAGTGCTCTCCGTTCCTTTTGATGCTTCTCTGGTACTATCTTTCCATCTTTGAGCTTTTATTTTCGTTCTCTCTTCTTTTGCAATTTCTGAAGGGTCTGTAATTAGGAAAATTATAAAATAAAAAAAATTAGGGTTTTCGGTTCTATGGTTGTGTTTCTGTATATTTTTTGTATGAATTGTATATCGGGCTTTTTCTTTCTCTGTGAACGATTGAGGAAGATGATTTTTCAATCTAGGGTTTTTGGTTTTTTGCCACTATGTTTTCTGTATACTTTGTGAACTCTCTTATTTTCTGGCCCTGTGAACTGACTTTTTTGAGAAGTTTTTTGAATCTTCTGGTTTGTAGTTCTGTGGTTGTGTTTTGTATACTTTTTGTGAACTATGACCTCTCCCCTTGAACTGTTTGTTTGAGCTTGCTTTTAAAGAAAATGATGGAAGAGAAACAACCTTAGGGCTTGCGTGTTCTGGTTATGATTATTTTCTGATATGTCAACTCTGTTGTGATTTGAGATCTTGCACTTTTGCTACGCTATACTGCCCCTGTTACTGTCCTTGTTGCTTGCTAGTTTTGATTTGTGATTTTCTGTACTATTCTTTCAACATCTTTTGGTTGAGTTGAGACATGACACTCCTTTTACTGTCTTTGTACTTGTGCAATCAACTACTTTTTGAGTTTTAACTTTATTATGAACCAAACAAATATTTTTTTATTCATTTGTTTGAGATTTGTAGTAAATGGATAGGCCTATAATTGATATTGTAGTTCTGACTTTTGTTGAAACGAAGAAAAATGAGGCTTTTGGTTGTTGCTTGAAACATGACGCTGGACTTTAATGATTTCTCAATTCTGATTTGTGAGGCTTCTTGTTGGGCTTGACAGTGAATTCTTAGTTGGGCTGTGATATTTTATTGTTACTGTGATGTTTCTTTTTTCTGAGAACTGAATTGTGAACTTTGTATATTTGGGCCTTGAACCAGTACTTCTGACTTGTTGTAACTACGATGGAACCGTGATGGAATTATGTTTTGAACCTCTTTTAAATTTATCTTTTGTGAACCAATTTATTTGTGATTTGCAATAGACCTAGGCCTATTATTAAATCTAACTTTGTATGAGGCTTTTTGGCGCATGAACATGATTGAGAAACAACCTAAAATCTGATTCCTTAAACAAAACCCTAATGATGAAATTGAAGAGAAAACTTGCTTAAAAACTTTCTTTGTTTATTTTCAAGTTTTGTTTGCTAACCAATTTGTTTTTTTTTTTGTTTCATGTGATTTTGATGAGGAATGAATGAAGATGGCAAGGCAAAGAGGTCTTGGCTGCCATAAAAGAGCTTGTAGGGAAATTGGAAGCAACCAAAGTGCAACTTCATTAGATTTAAGAATTCCATTTGAATTGGCATTGTAGAATCTTAGGACTTGTGATAAGAAAGCTTAGGAATTTGAAACTCTTTTGTATTTGAAATTATAAGTTTCTTGCAACATCTCGTGAACTTGTAAACTTTGTAGAATTTTTAGTCTTGAACGAGGATGAATGTTGAACCTTGTATGGAAAAATGTAGTTTGGATTCTTGAAACGAATTTTGAATGAAAAATGAATCTTGAATTTTGAACTCAAATAGTGAATATGGGATTAGGTTGAATGAATAAAATTGAAACTTGTATCTTCCATTGGAACCTTGAATTCTACATATGCCTCTTCATGTTTAAAAAATCTTTGAGTGCCAAGTATATCCAAACATTTCAAAATACCTTAAAATGATGGAATATGGAAGAATTTGGTCAACAAAAGTCAACTTGATTTCAATCCTTGAGATCTCACATGAATCTTCTAATTTTTATTAAGTCAAATTCTTGAATAAAACTGATGCTCACAATCTTTAATTCGCCTTGGTTATCTATGAACTCAAATCCACTTCAAAACTCGAATGAACCAAAATTCCAATTAATTTGCAAATTTCATGAATGCTTACTCAATTCAATTCAACTTGTATTGCAAACAACAAATAACAATAATGAGACCAAAAATAACCTTCATCAAGAATGAACCCACACATTCACATCTCGTGTCCTGGCCTAAGGTTTAACAATTCAGTCCACCATATATCTTAACCTGAAAACTCGTGACCTTACACGAATCTAATATCCTCGAAGAATTCCTTGATAATGAATAATGGGAATATGGAGAAAGTATCACCAAAATTTCCATTAAACAACTAATTCATGGGATTCTTAGTCAAACTAGTGCCATGCCTAGACACAAGGGATCAGAAACCCTAATTCATAATCCTTGAAGAGGATACTTTACAATTTTCTATCGAGAAGAAAAGAAAATCCTTGTAGCCTGAGAAGCATTGGTAGCCTTGAGTAATTGAAAACCCTAATAAAATGTTTTGAAGAAAATGGAGGACAAATTTTGGGGTAGAACACTCTGCATTACCAACATTTTCTTTGCATATGACCTAATACTTTTCACAAGAGGAGATACAATTCTATCCAGCTCATAATGGAGGAGTTTAATAAATTATCTCATGCTACTAGCCTGAAAGCTAACCCCCTAAAGTGTAAAGCATTTTTGGTGGGGTTAGCAACTCTGAACAAAGTAAAATTCTGGATACTACTAGTTTTTCTACATGCACCCTCCCCTTCAAATACTTGGAAGTGCCACTTACTAGCAAGAAGCTGCACATATCCCTTTATCGGCCCCTGATTGATAGAATTATTCACAAGGTCCAACATTGGACAGTTAGCCTACTTAGTTATGCTAGAAGGAAGCAACTAATTCAGAGTGTTTTGACTGCCATGACTGGCTATTGGATGCAGATCTACCCCACGCCCGAAAAATTTATCACCCATATTGAAGCTATCTGCAGAAGCTACCTTTGGAGTGGGAAGGAAGTAATTAGCAAGAAAGCATTTGTGGCTTGGGATTCCATGTGTAACCCTAAGAATACAGGTGGCTTGAATTTCACTAATCTTGTTAGTTGGAATAAGGCCACTATAATGAGACTTCTCTAGAATCTGCAGGCCAAGGCAGACAAGCTTTGGGTACAATGGATGCACACATATTATTTCAAGGGACAACAAATTTTTAATTCACAGGTTCCCTATAATTGCTCTTGGATTTTGAAAAAAAAAATTATGAGCTTGCGAGAGACTGCATGCCAGAGTAGGTACTGGAAAGAATTTGAACAGAAAGGACACTACAAAACTAATAAGATGTATAAGGAAATTAGAGGTGCGAAAACTCCCACCCCCTGGAGCAAGCTGTTTTTCTCCAACTCTGCTAGGCCAAGGGCCAACTTTATGATGTGGTTGGTAGTATAGGATAGACTGGCAACAAAAAGCAGATTGGCTAAATTCAGGATTGCCACTGATGGCATATGTGCATTCTATGATCAAAATGAAACTCAAGAACACTTGTTCTTTGAGTGCAGCGTGAGTAGCAGCATTTGGAAGGGAATCCTTAATTTGGACCAGGTATAAAAGGATACCTAGAAGATGGACTAACTAGAAATTGTGGCTAAGTTCAGAGACAAGGAAAAAGGATGGCGAAGACAAATTCTTAAAGTTGATGTGGCTGAAATAATCTATGCTATCTGGAGTATGCAAAATGCAATCACATTCAAGAAGCAGGATATGGACGAGGGCATAAAAAGCATATAAAAATTTGCATCATTACTAGGTGTTATCTATAGAGTAAACTCAAGGCCCATATTGACCCCATTACTCTTAGCATTCATTAGTTTTTTATGGTTATTAGTTTTTTATGGTTACATTTGTCTGTTTTGTAAGCTGTGGCTAGTTTAGAGTGCCTGGACCCCCAGTGGTCGGTGTATTTCAACTGTTTTTGTTATTAATAAAGTTTATTCTCAATAAAAAAAAACAATCTAAAAATTAAAGTGGAATAAACGACGACCATCTACTGTCTTATTTCTTGAGTGACTTTAATTTTTTTAATAACATTAAAAACATTAAAATGAAGTGTTTTAAAAAAATTGTATTGGATCTTCAATAAAAGAATACAAATTATGAGTTTTTTAGTAGTAAAAAATTAAAACATTAATGAATAAAGTGGTTTGAGATTATTGAACCTTCTATCATTTCTTGCCAACCAAATTTGATGGATCGTGTGAATCATTGTTGCATGAATAATATCTTTGAGTTTGGGATGCCATCCTAGCAAGGCCATCTGAACAAGATCCGTCAAAGATTTAGGCAAAGTTATGATTTTGATTTTCTCCATTATCTCCTTACATATTGCCAATGCAAATTTACACACAAAAAAAAAGATGTGAGAAGTTGTCTCCCTTTGAACACTGCATTATTGAGATATAACCCAAGTTAATTACTTGGTTAAAAATTCATGTATCCCAAGCCCAAATTAGTTAGGGTTTGGAATTCACATACTTGTATAAATACACATATTTAAAATTGACTTTTTACAACTTACAATAATGCATTTTCTCTCATCAATTCTTCTCATTCTCTCTCTCTCTCTCTATCTCTCTCTCTCTCTCTCTCTCTCTCTCTCTTCACTAAAAGTGTCTCACGCACTAAAGAAATGATATCTATAGATTTCGATTAGTTTCTTGATTGTCTTTTCAAGAACTGCATGTTGGTGGTTGCGTTCTAGGGATTGTGAATCATATTTGCTACAAAGATGAATGATGACAACATTATTACCAATTCTTGATGGGAAGAATTGGATCTGATGGAGCAAGCAGATGAAATCTTTGTTTGGTTTCCATGAAACCCTTGAAGTTGTCATCAATGGAGTTCCTAAACTTGGTGACAACACAATTGATGCTCACTTAGTCATTCATAGCGATGCCAAGAAGAAAGACTGCAAGGTTGCATTTTATCTTTAGTCTGCGGTAGATGCAACGAATTTTGATCATATTTCTCATGCTGAATCAATGAAGGAGTCATGGGATATTCTTGTTAAGTATTATGAAGGAGTACACCAGTTTTAAAATGTCAAGTTGCATACATTACAAAGGATGTATGAATTACTGCATATGGGAGAAGAAGAAAAGATTGCAGGCTATGTCTCAAAGGTGTAGAATGTTGTTCATCTCATGAAGGGCTATGGTGAAACCCTTAATGACAAGATGATAGTTGAGAAGGTAATGTGTATATTGACCTATCACTTTGATCATGTTATAGTAGATATTTAAGAATCCAACAATCTTAAAACCATGAAACTAGAAGATTTAGTTGGTTCGTTGGAGGCACATGAGTTACGAATTATCGAGAGGAAAGGGGTTCAAGATTCGATACAAGTTCTTCAGGCCCAAACATGGAAGAAGCATGGTGGTTCCAATAAGTTCAAATACAAAATAGGCAAGACTCATAGAAAGAAGTCTTGGGTGAATCCTCAAAAGCCTAAGTTCGACTATAGGGCCTCTAAATCATTGAAAAGAGGAGAAGGAAACTTCTATTAAAAAGACAAAGAAGAAGAAAAATGAGTGCAGTGCTATAATTGTTAAAAGTTAGGGTCATTTGGCCAAGAATTGTTGGTTCAATAAATACAAGGGAGCAACAAAAGGCAAGGGTGAAGGAGCAACCTTGCACGTTAAGACTCAGATGATTATGAAGATATGATGGTTATAGATGTAGTTGCAAATGAGCATGTCGACACCAAAATTGGGTTTCTTGACATGGGCTACTCGAATCACTTTATTGAAAGAAAAGTGTGGTTAGTAAATTTTGACGAGTCAAAGAAGAACAAGGTTAAACTTGCTGATAGTAGCTTGTTGGAAGTAGAAGGTACTTGTGAAATAGTTATTCAAACGACCAATGGAGCAAAAGCTATTATCAAATATGTACTCTATGTACTTGGAATTAAGTGCAATCTACTAAGTGTTAAACAACTTATCGAAAAAGGTTTCTCAGTGATTATGAAAGATGGAGCTTTGAAACAGTTCGACACTTAGAATAATCTGGTTTTAATATCTCCTCTGTCAAAGAATAGAAAATTTAACACCATGATCAATTTGACTGAGGTACAATGCCTACAAATAGTTGTCGACCACACGAATAATTGGTTGTGGCATTTGAGGTTTAACCATTTGAGTTTTAGGTCACTCAATCAACTGATCATCCAAGATATGGTAACTGGTATACCAATTCTTGTGATGCATGACAAACTATGTGAAGGTTTCTTAGTAGGGAAGCAATCCATAAAGTCTTTCGTTTCGACTATGCCAACGAGGTCCTCTTGCATACTAGAAGTAGTATATTCAGATGTATATGGCCCCTTTGAGGATTGTGAGTTGAAACCAATATTTTGTCTCATTTGTCGATGGGTATAGTTGAAACCTTTGAATCTATGTGATCAAGCGAAAGGACAGAGTATTTGAAATCTTTAAAAGATTCAAAATGCTTGTCGAAAATCAGAGTGAAAAAATATCAAGATTCTACGAATAAATGGATGTGACAAATACACATCCAAGAGATTTGAAGAATTCTATACAGAACATGGTATTGATCATGACGTAACTGCTCTTACATGCCTCAACATAATGGAGTAGCAGAAAGAAGAAACAATACCATATTGGACATGGCAATATGCATGTCGGAGCAGAAGAATTTGCCAAAATCCTTATAGGGGGAGCAATCACCACAATTGTCTATGTACTAAACATGTGTCCTACAAAGAAACTGAAAAACAAGGTTCTTAAAGAAATGTGGAGTGGAAAATAACCATCAGTGAGTCATCTGAAGGTGTTTGGCTCTATTTGTTACAAGCATATCCCTAATGCGAGAAGAAGAAAGTTTGATGACAAAAGTGAACCTATGATTCTGGTAGAATGTCACAAACTGGAGCTTACAGGCTATTCAATCCAATTAATGAGAAGATTGTGATGGATCGAGATATTGTGATTGATGAAATTTTTTCTTAGGATTAGAATTCTGGTGATGCAATTGATAAGCCATTGATGAGCTATGGCTTTGGCAAAGTAATAAATAAGGCCGAAGTTGAAGTAATTACCGATATTCTAGTCGAATTCGAAGTGGAAGCAGATAATCGAGATGGTGTAGCTAGCACAAGCTAAAGACCATAAAAAACTAGTGTTCTTTTAACAAAGCTTCAAGACTCTGAAATGGTTGGTGATGATGAAATCACAACAAATAGAGAATTAATTCATTTTTTTAGTTGTAGGTATTGAACCAATAAACTATAACGAGACTTTAAAGAATAAATAGTGGAAGTCAACTATGGTTGAATAGTTACAAGAGATCGAAATAAATAACATATGGGAGCTACTCAAACTGCCAACGCAAATAAAAGTTATCAAAGTGAGTGTTCAAGTTAAAACACAATGTTGATGGGTCGATATCAAGACATAAGACAAGAATAATAGCTCGAGGATTTCTTCAGAGAGCATGAATTGACTACTTTAAAGTATATGCACCAGTAGAAAGATTGGAAATTGTCAAATTGGTGGTAGCCTTGACATGTAAGCAAGGATGGTCAACATTTCACTTAGATGTAAAATTATTATTTTTGAATGGTCCTTTAGATGACGAGGTATATCTCACACAACCGCCTGGATTTGTGATACATGAGGAAGGAAGGAAAATGTACAAGTTACACAAATCCCTTTATGGTCTCAAACATGCACCTAGGGCATGGAACAAGAAAATCGACTCATACTTAGTCGAATTGGGATTAGTCAAATGTAAGTCTGAGTATGGTGTCCTTGTTCAGGTTGTGGCATAAGATATAATAACCATCTACTTATATGTCAATAACTTGCTGGTAACTAGAAACAACGTGGAGAACTTGTCGAAGTTCAAAGAGCTGATGATGGGGGAATTTGAAATGTCAAATATGAGAAACTTGTCTTATTTCCTAGGCATGGAATTTCAAATTACCAAGCAAGGTATGGTGTTATATAAAAGGAACGGTGTAAAAGAGATACTCAAGAGATTCAGGATGGATGATTCAAATCCTGCATCCTTGTCAGTCGAACCAAATTTGAAACTAGAGAAGCATTGAGAGGAGCACAAAGTCGATGCAACTTTATTTCAAATAAATTGTCGAATCTCTGAGATATGTGTGTAACAGTCAACCTGATATAAGTTTCTCAGTCAGATTAGTGAGAAGATACATGAGTGAACCAATGGTGTCACACATGAAGGCTGCAAGAAGAATCTTGAGATACCTAAAAAGATCGATAAACTGTGGAATTTTATTTTCACGAGATTCTTAAAGCAAAGAAGCTACAATTACTTTCTATTCAGTTGCTGACTGGTGTGGAGATAAGGAAGATCGAAGAAGCACAATTGGTTACTTCTTTCAAGTATTTGGTGCCCCAATCTCATGGTGCTCGAGAAAGCAACCTGTGGTGCATTTATCGTCATGTGAGACTGAATATATAGCATGATCCTATGGTGCATGTCAAGCAATTTGGATCAAATCTGTGCTGGAAGAGATGGAGGTTAAAGTGAAGAAACATGTTGTACTGCAAATCGATAGCAAGTCAGCCACAAATCTTGCAAGGAATCCAATTTTGCATAGAAAGAGTTAGCACATAGAAACTAGATTTCACTTCTTAAGGAAGAAGATAAATCAATGTGAAATTGAAGAGAGACATTGCTCAAGTGAAACACAGTTGACCGATATTTTCACCAAAGGATTGAAGATCGACATATTCTTGAATTTGAGAAGGAAATTAGAAATAGTTCAGATTGACTATGATTAGTTTGTGTTCGATAACTTAGATTATAGAGGGGTGTGTTGAGATAAAATCCATGTTAGTTACTTGGTTAAAAAATTATGTAGCCTAACTCCAAATTAGTTAGAGTTTGGAAGTCACATACTTATATAAATACACATATTCGTAATTTAGTTTTTACAACTTCCAATAATACAGTTTCTGGCATTAATTCTTTTCATTCTCTTTCCCTTTTTCTCCTCATCAAAAATGCATCACGCACTAACATGCATAAACTACACATCGAAACCAACACACAATCCCTCATTCTTTTTTGTAAATTACCGTTAGAAAGAATCTTATTGTGAATCAGTCTCCATATCTTGAAGGAAGTCGGAAAAAAATGAAATTCTTTCGGATTAATTTGACATACTCCAAAGATATTTGATGACGCTTAATAATACTTGATTTTGATTTTGATAAATTTATTATTAAATTTCTCATAAAATTTATGTGAATGCATGTATGAACTTTATTAAGATAAACATACTTTTATATTTAATAGGTCAAAACAATTAATTCTCTTACTAAACATCAAGTAATATTGAACTTATAAAAATATTTTGCTTTTTGTTAATATTCAAAGTCTTAAATCACCCTTCAATAACTTCTTTTTTTTATATTAGTAAAAAAATTTAGGAACGATACAAAATATCATAATTATTATAATTTTGATTATAAAAATCAAATGAAATCATTAAAAGTCATTGTTTTAACTTTTCATTCAAAATTAAACTTAATAATATTCAACTCTTAAAAGATACCGGGTAAAAAACTCTTCAAAAACTTAATTCATTTTTAAATTAAGACAAACCTTTTTAATAATTTTACCTATTTATATAATGATTATTATTTTTTTACCATTGACTGAGTGATGAACACAAATAAAAAAAATGAAAATGTAAATTTGAATTAAAATTTTTTATTATAAAATATTTTTATTAACAATTTATTAAAAATTTAGTAAAAATAGTAATTGGCGGATAAATTTACTGATAGTTTATAGTTTACTGTTGATGACTGATGACTGATAATTTATAGTTTATAATTTATAATTGAGACTGATAACTGATAAGCTGATTGAAGTGTTTGATAAAATTAACAGTTCAACTAATTTATGAATTAAAATAACATGAAAAATATTTAATACATAATTATTTTATTTTAAATTAAAATAAATTATAAAAGATAAAAATAAATTTTTGTTAAAATAATAAAGATGAAAAAAATGATAAACTACAAATTAAAACACCATTTAAAATAGCGTCTGAAAAATAAATTATAAACTAATAAAATAAACTATAAATTTATATGAAAAAATCATTATCGAACACGTTTAAATTATTATATAAATTTATAAATTATAAATTTAAAATATATAAAAAAGAAGTAAAAAAGCTACATCACAAAAAATCCAATAAATTGAATGGTAGAGAAAAATCATGAAAATTATAAAAAAAAACAACCGAATTTTAAATAATGAATTAAAAAAATCCATGACATTTTTTCCGACATAAAATTTAGACCAGCTAAAAAAAACAGCAACATCAAGTCTTAACATTGTACGGTAATTAATAAAACACAGTTTCAAAGTCAAAAAAGAAAAGAAAAGATAAGATAAAGATTACAAGGTTGGTTGGGTTGAAAAAGAAGAGTGGGTAATTCTAGTTTTTCTGTGGGATTCGCGTGTTTACCGTTCTCAAATCATGTTTTAACCATTTGAAATTTTTTTCCCATTTTCTTACAAAATTCATAAATATATAAATGCAAAAATAAATATATAATAAGTAATAACATGTGATATATAACAAAGATGTTGGGTTTTTACATGCCTTAGATTTTCTTCTTCACCATCTTACAACCTCTTGTTTTCTCTCTCTAGAAACCCTAATTCTGGATCTTCCTTTACTCCTCTTTCTCTACCTTCCTTTATCTTCATCAACAGGATCAGGTACATATATATCAACCTCTTTGATTCTGAATTGTTGTAACTTTGTTTTGATCTTTGTATGTTCTTGGAATTTTGACTAATGGAAGAATACTGTTATTGATTTTGCATGATTCTGCTGAATCTAGATTTGACTTGTGTTTGTTTGTTTGTTTGTTTGATGTTTCTGATTCATTGGTTTTGGATTGGTTTGGGAATTGAGGTGTTTGAAAAATCAAACCATGTGTCTTGTTGTGCTGCATGGTTGGAGTTGTTGGATTGAATTCGAACTCATGTTCTGTGGTTGATCTTTTTGTTATGTTGCTGAATTATGTATGCTTGCTGGTTTTTGTTTTTGTTTGGATTGATTGGGATATATACTAGGGTTTGGTTGGATATATGATGTTTGAGAATTGAATTGATCTTTTATGCTGTTGTGATTTTGGTATTGGATTGATGAAGTAACTCTGATGGATGGAATATTTTGTTGTTAGATTTGATTTGAGTTTGATTTATTGTTAAAATTCAGGAGTTAATTAAAGTTGCGGAATCAGAAATGGAAGATATTGATGTTGGGTATGAGTTATATTTTTTCTTCTTATAGAAGACTTTTGATGATAGAAAATGAAACCACATTGGATGGTGTTTGAATTGGTATAAGTTTTATGTAGGGTTTGTTTGTTAAGGATCTTGTAGGTTTGTTTAAATTTTGATTTCGTGGAAGATGTGGAGTTGGGAAAATCTGGATCGTTTTGCGGTTGATATGATTGTTAACGGAATTGCAATTTAATTCATGTGAATAATATTAGTTTTTGTTTCTGAGTGTTGAATTGAATTGAATTTATTGGGGGAGCATGGAGAACGCGTGCGATGTGAATCAGTTGGATGCTGATGTTCTTTTGCCACCTCGGAAACGGCTTCTTGCTGGACTGAAAAAACAGAGTTCGGAAAGTGATGCTACTGCGTCACCGTCACCTGTTGCTGCTTCTTGTGTTACGGATGTTGCTTCCCCTTCATCTGCTTCCTTTTCAAGTGAATTTGAAGCTCGGCTTAAGCATTTGTTGAATTGTCATTCGAATAACCCTAACCTTACACCCGAGGAGGTCGCGGAGGCTTCGAGAAAAGCAGCGGTCACTGCAACTAAGGCTGCCGAGGCAGCAAGAGCTGCAGCTGAAGAGAAAGCTGCTATAGCAGCGAAGGCGGTTGCTAAGGCCAAGAGTGCTTTGGATTTGGTTGCTTCTTTTTCTGAGGATGCAATCGTCAACAAGGAAAGGAATCTGAAAAAGAACAAGTCGAAGAAGCATGTCCCAGTTCAGCTGTTGTACAAAAAAAACAAACCAATTGAAAATTGTAGGAAAGATGAAGAATTAGCTCGAAAGTTACACCGAGCCATGAATAGCTCTCCGAGAATCTCTAAGAACTCTCCGAAATCTGACTCAAAAGGTAGTAGATCGAAGAGGCCTAGAAGCTCTTCAAGTTTCGAAATAACCGAGGGCTCTGAATGTGGCGCAGCAGTTGGACAAGATTGTTTATCTTTGAGCAACGGACATGCAGTAGCCGGAAAGATTGATTCTGAAGGATCCAACCAAGAGGTATGCTCTAGTAAGAAAGATAAGAAGGTAATCAAATATGATAGGTCTAGCCAAATGGAGATGGATAACGGGGAAGCAGAGTCGAGCCACTCAAAACCGAAAAACGGTGAAGATTCACATTCACCTCCCATCATAGGTAAGAAGAGGGGAAGGACAAAGCTAAAAAAGTTACCCTTAAGCATTTGCACCTCGAAAGATAAAGCACAGCCGAGGGAAGAAATAAAAGTCAGAAGAAGTTCTTCGTTGACTGAACTGAACAAAGACAATCAGCATGTCCATACTATACCCGTGTTTCCGGTGGAGCCATCGACTGACCGAATGACGCCGATTGAAGCTACATCAACATGGAAATGCCAGGACTTCAAGGTACCGGCTTGTATCAAACAAAATAAAGCTGTGCAGTCATAATAATATTCAAATACTACAACACTACATTGGAGTGATGACTGTGTGCCACTGTGATAAAAGATATTGATAGCTGAGGTAGGAACCACGATGCTTCTTTTTTTGTTTTACAATATGGCATTTATCTCCTTTTTTTTTGTAAAATTTTATGTTTTGTAATGAATTTGTACTGATTATTACATGGAAATTTAGATATAAGTGGCTTGCATCTGTGTTACTTTAATTGACAGGAAAGGTTGAGTTTTAGGTAGGAGTATGTATGATTTGAATTGAACAGCCTTTTCATTGTGCTGCTGCATATTTCTATTCCTCATTTGTTATGAGAATAAAAGGTGAAAGTGTGTTGTTGGTCTTATATTTAAATTTTTAATTGTGCTGTTTTTTTTTTTTATTACAAATGTTTTATGAATGCTGATTGTGTGTTCCATTTACCGCTTTAAAATATTGACAAATTAATTAAGAGCTCTCTGAAATGGGGATTTGGGCAAAGTTTCTTGAAGCATTCATATCTATCAATGCATGTCATACTATTTATGAATATTTATTACTCTCTCCATTGGATTGTCCTTATTATTTGCAACTTTCAAAATAAATTTATTGTTTCTTTTTTCAAACTTATCATTTGTTAATATTATTAAATTGTATTGAAATATGCAAAAATGGATTCTATATTTATACCAATTTCTTAAAACAAACTTAGTGTATCACTTGTTTTTTAAACAGACTTGATTAGTCCAAAACAAAAACAATTTAGTTTGTCACATTAAGAATACAATTTATTTTTTATAAACAATTAAGTGAATAATTTACTTTATTTTGTATTTTAGGGGTTGGGTGCTGTTGATAGTTGTCTTCCACGTGGATAATGATATACATGTAGATTTGATGCAATAATTGATTTTTAGATGTTTTCTTGGACCATGAATGGCTAGGTGATAACGCATAGAAAGTGTCAACGTGACTCTTGCACAGTTAAGGAATCAAATAGCGTGAGAAAATATTGCGACAGAGTGGAATCAATCAATACGAAATTGTTGAAGTAGTTAATTTTTGATTTTTTTTTTTTTAGCTGTAGAGTTGATAAATAAGAAAACATAGGTACAAAAATGAGGGGACATAAGCCAAAACCTCAAACCTATCTAACTATAAAATTAGGAAGATCCGGCTTATTCTTAATAAAGTCTGGTTTAATGATAAATGTAAATTATTTCACTAAGTGAAAATAGAGACGCCTAATTCTAAATTAGTTAATTAATCTGTACAATAGTTTCCTTCTCTGTAAATATGAGTTGTCAAAAAAATGAAAATTTCGTAATTGAAACATACAATTATCTCATCTGCACCTTATCTTCCAAGGCACAACAGAAGATTTAGTGAATGCCAAAATAACTAATTTAGAGTCACTTTCTAACTAAAGATTAAGCCAGTTGTGATTGACCGTCTATTCAATCGCGAAAATGACTCCCATAAACTCTCCAAAAATGCGTTCTCATGACCTAAGTTACACGCAAAGCTTCCCAAATGATCACCATTGTGATTTCTAAAAATACTTCCCCAAGCTGCCAAATTTGGAACTCCATCAGCATCACCATCAATATTAACTTTCAGCCATGAACTAAATAACCACGCCCACCAGAGCTAAAGGAGATCGAAAGGGACTTGCGGCTGTTTGGAGGACACCATAAAACCTCTTTACAAACCTGCGGCTTTGGCGCATTTATATTTATTGATTTTTTTTTCAAAATCACAAAATCACCAATTGCCAAGCTAAAGCGAGCATGAGTGAAATTACCAGCTAACATAACCAAAGAATTGATAGATGAACAAAAGGACTTCTGGTGAATAAGTTTATGATCAAACCTCGCAAGATTTCTCGCACGCCAAATGGAGTTCACTGCTCCTATGATTGCAGCCCGACTTACAACTTGACACTGCGCAAAAGTAGTAATTTGCATAACTGACAAACAGTCGTCGATGTTATCAATTATAACCTGGGTGTTCGACATACTACTTAACCAAGTCCAAATCTCTAGAATATCTGCAACTGAAGAAAAGATGCAGACCTAAGCCATGGAAATGCCTCTCTTACAAAGATCGTCATTTATTGGGAGCCTTCTTTTAAGTAATCTCTAGAAGAGAACTAATTGCGAGGGAGGAATAGCGGCATTCCAAATACTTTTACCCCCACAAAATTTGGTCCCCGCTCTGCCTGAGATGGTTGTACGCCTCTCTCAGATTTAACTCCCCACTATCGGACAACTTCCAAATTAAATTATCATCATTCATACAATTGACATACACGTCGATGACCAATTGAGGTAAAGCCGAGAAAATTTGTATAAGCTCATTGGGAAGAACAAAAGTGTTTCCATTCAAGATCACCTTTAAAGAAGCCTTCAAAAATTGAAGTCTGTCTGAAGGAATCTGCAACAACGAAGTAAGCGTCTGCCCGCATCAATTATCGCGCTAAAGATTGTTTTTTCCACTTTCCCAATTAACCATATAAAATTATCCATTAATTCGGTCAAGTGAGCTTTGCTACCTGTCCAGATTGACGAAAAAACATGGCATTTAATCTGCCTATTTCTCTTGAAAACTCTAGCTTTTAAAATGGAAGCCCAACAATCTGTCTCATTAATAATGCTCTAACCTTGAACAATATTATTAGCTTCATTAAGTGTCCTAAGAGATCTGATCCCTAAACCTCCAGCCTGAATATCTTGACAACATTGATCCCAAGCAACAGTTACAAGTTTCCACTGTTATATGTCACCACTTCAGATAAGGTTCCTGTACCAACTTTTAATAGATTTGATTAAGTTGACAGGCCAAGAGTAAATCCTAAAGGAGTAGAGAAGCATGCTATGAATGAAAAAATTGACCAATTGAATTCTGCTTGCTATAGACAACAAACTAGCTTTCCAAGCTGCAATTTTAACTTTAATTTTGTCTGCTACTGATTGAAAATAAATGGATTTTGGTCTTCCTTTAAAAATAGGAACGCCCAAGTAAGAGAAAGGAAGGTGTCCCATATTGAACCCAATCCTACTAGACAGAAAACCATGCCTAACCACTGTCATTGATCCTGCAAACATGGTAGATTTCGCAGAATTGCAAACCTGCCAAGAGCAATCAGCATACTTAGTGGAAAGATTTGCAATGGCATCAAGGAAAGAAGTGCAACCTCTAGTGAACAACATGACATTGTCTGCATAAAAGGTATGAGAGGGAACTGTGACTCTCCTGCTGGCATTGATGAGCTTAAAATTGTTTGTGTCCACTAAGTGGGTAAGACCTCGGCTAAGAACGTCTCCGTTCAAGCAAAACAACAGCGAAGATAGTGGATCTCCCTGCTGGAGATGAAAGTAGTAGAAAAACAAGAAGACAGTGGCCCCAATCTTCAGGTGCTCGCACACAAGTTCGAAGGCCCGTAGGAAGGCTACCGAGTTAGGATGAAGCTGTAAAGGATCAAGATGAAGGTGGTCGAAGACGGCCACCTGAGGGTCGGAGAAAAGCAGTCGGAGCCCCAAATCTCTGAAAATGATCTCATACATAGGAAACTGGTTGACATTGTACTTCGTGCATATCCTATTACGCTTCCCAGGAACAAAGACGACCCAATCCTCCTCAGCATTCAGTTGCTTCATCCCTGCAGCCACGACCGTGAACGCCTCCTCCAGATGCTTGGTAAAGTATGATACAACTGAGTGTTTTGAAAGTCTATTTAAAGGAAAATCAGAACCGTTGGGAGTAAAATAGATGTCACTCAAAAAGCACGAGCTGGCCAAAAGAAATGGAAAAGTTAGTGAATTTGTTTAAAAAGCCACTCCCTAAAATCTAGGAGTAATCATGAGAAGTGATTGAGGTGACATGGGAAACTGTTGTGCAGAAAGTAAGTCATGATTACGCATGACATCATCCCAAAGAGGCGAGAAGTCGAAAACATAGAAGAAAAATGCCAGAGTTCTCCCATCGACAAGGCTCCGTCGAACATGGAGTTTTGGGGTGCAATTTGTTGACAAGCAATTTTTGACTAGGGAACATAGGCCTTTAAGTTGTAAGATTAAAGAGCTAAAAAGGCATGAGTTTTGTAGGAAACAATAGGATATGTCGAGCAAGGGAAAGGACATCGACCAAGGGAGCTAGTCGACGAGGACATGAGGTTTAAAGGCAGCTGTCGATAGAAACAAAGGTCAACGAAGCAAGGAGTTATATTGGCGGGAACGATTATCAACGTGCAAGCCAGCGAGAACATGGGAATATTCAAAACCGTTTTTTATGAAGTCCAACATGGGCTAGTAACCGTCAACAGTTACATATTTAGGATTGATATTTAAGTAAATGTTTATATTTGTGTCAAAGGTCACATTTCTTCACATTTAAAGCATTACACTCAAAGTACTAAGAGAGAAACGAGTTTCAGGCTTCACAATGTATGAATGCTTCCACCTTAAAATTCATAGAAATTTCCAGTTTTTACTTTGAATTTACAAGTCTTGTCTTTAATTTATCTACTTTGTAATTGTCTTTATCTTTTGCCTTTTTACCTTTTATAAACCAGTTCTCAACCCAAAAAACACTCAAAACATTAAGTCTAGAATTATTGTAGCCGATCCTGCAAGCAACTTTTAATAAGAGGCTAGCGATTGTTTCATGGAGAAAAAACTTTGTAAAGGAACAGTTGCTGAAGCGGGCTGTTTATCCTGGTTGTGCTCCAGATTATGTAGAGTGCTCTACTAATCCTGAGGGTTGTATCAATTTGAAGAATGAGATCCAGAGAATGATTGATGAAGGTACTATACAGTTTAATCAGTTATCTGTTAATATGAGGGCTGATGATGAGGAAATGTACGTGGTCACCATTCCTTTCACTCCTAGAAGAGTTCATGCTCTTGCAAAACAAACTCATATGACTATTACCTTGCCTAGCCCAGTTCCTTATCAGAGTGACAAAGTCGTGTCGTGGCGTTATGAGGCCGAGGTGTTCTATCAGGGACGTAAAT